GACAGAAGACAGAAGTTCGTTATGTAGTACAGACTAGAGACAACACTAGAAATTCATCATTTTACGACTGTACTACCAGAAGCGTACTTCACGCTGGTCGTGTGCGCAGAGCTGAGCGTACCGTTGTGCTTTCTTTATTAGCAGTCGGATCACCCGGCTGTCGCCGGGTGCTCCTCCTTCTTTATCATGGCCCGGCTTCGCCGGCCCGGCCTGGCTTCGCCAGGCACTCTTTCTTTAGGCGAGGTAGAGTGTGCAAAATACGCCGAACCGTCACAGTTCATTTTCCAGCAAAATGTAGAAAAATAGTTGAAAATAGCTCGGGCATGGATTAAAGTTGGATCAGCGAGTCGGAGTTGAAGTTGAACCGGCGCTGTGATATTCGTGTCAAAGAATTAGACGCACACGCACGAACATAGCCGATTACATATGGTGGGATTGTAACCGTTGTCCCAATGTAGCGGTGAAATCTATCCTAGGGTCCACTCTCGGAGTTAGCACAAAAATCTCCATAACCCTCACACGAAAATCCAGCAACCTGTTAGAACAGCCTTCGAAGCATCCTACCGCTTGATGCGTTCTCCTCTACTGCAGGTTCTTTTTCTGGAATGCACTGCAGTTTCACGCTTCGAATGGTCCTCTCTCAGATTGTTGATGAAAGATAGTCATAGTGATAAAGCCACTTGCTGCTGTTTATGGCAACTGAGTAAACAACCATCATGCATCTGAACTCCGGTTGCTTTAGTGGCCGTATATGATGTCAATAACGATAAAGCCCAGGAGTGAGTTGTGTGCAAACTACTGGGAGCCTGATACCTCAATCATATCAATCGCCTAATGGATGTGAGAGGTGTTGCGGATTTTCGCATGATGGGGTTTTCATTTCTTATCAGTCTCTTCGTCTCATCCGTCAGTGGGTGTCCGCCCCTCCCCCTATACCACTTCTTGGAGCCAAGGTCCCACATACCCTGCAACCTGCCCTACGAATTTGGTGGCCCTCTGCATCTAAGGTCGCTTATCAAATCTTATCATATGTTATTAGATTGTGTCACCCACCCCGTCCCTCCTGTATACCATCTCGGAACCACGGTCTCAATTCAGCCGATGTCAGGAATTGGGTGAGCCTCCGTGTCTAAGGTCCCCTTATTAAATCTTATCAAGTGTTACCAGCTCCTGCCACACACCAATCATGTCCACCCCCTTTCCCCTACACCACTTCTCCAAATCAATGTCCCACGGTTGCTGCAACCTGCGCTAAGAATTTGGTGACACCCGCGTCTAGGGTCCCTTATCGGATCTTATCAGATGTTATCAGCTCCTCCATCTGCGGCATATCACTGCTTGAAACCAAGGTCCCGCAGCTGCTGCAACATGCCACGAACTCGGTCACCCTCTCCTTCTAAGGCCCCATTGTCACCTCCTGTCACCCACCAAAAGTGTTCCCTCTGCCGTGTATATCACCTCTTGAAACCAAGATCCCAGAGTTGCAACCTGCGCTACGATTTCGGTCACCCTCCCCTTCTAAGGCCCCATTATCGAATCTTATCAAGTGTTATCACCTCCTGTCACGCCACCTAAAGTGTTCTCGTCTGCCATGTATATCACTTCATGAAATCACGGTCTGCAGCTGCTGCAAATCGCCGCTACGATTTCGGTCACCCTCCCTTTTGTAGGCCTATCGATTCTATCGAGTGTTATCACCTCCTGTCACCCCCAAAAGTGTTCTCGTTCTGCCATGTATATCACCTCTCCAAGTCAAGGTCCCACGGTCGCTGCAACCTGCGCTACTAATCTGGTGATCCTCGGCGTCTAAGCCCCTTATCAGATCATACCAGGTGTTATTCACCTCCTGTCACCCACCAAAAGCGTTCCCTCCTGTCGTGTATACCACTTGTTGAGATCGCGTCCCGCAGCAGCTGCTGCAACCTGCCCTAAGGATTTGGTGACACCCGCGTCTAGAATCCCTTATCGGATCTCATCAGATGTTATCACCTCCTGTCACCCACCAAAAGGCTACTGGGACAGGTGTTATGAATTTCGTGACACACAAACACACACAGACACACATATAGTAGGATAACGGTAGTCCTCAATGCTAGAAAGCGCCAATGGTTACACTAGTTCGACCTTCTATCAGTGTGAAACGTGGTTGCCTTGTCTTATAATACATTAGCTTCTTTCAGTTATCTCTCAAAACCGGGTCACGATTTCAGGAAATTTTCAACGGGAAATAAGGTTGGTAAGAAATAATTCACATAGAAAATAGAAGCTTTTCCATTTCTTAGCTTCCTTGCACAGCTCCTTTCTAGAAAACACTACTTGACGATCCACAGGAGAAAGGTATTCATGTTCGTGAGGCATTGCTCGATTTTCACAAAAAGTGGTACAGTTCTAACATGTGAGTAAACTCATCTTATCCTAATACTGACGTATAAAGTCAGATGAAGACACACTCCATGCTGGTGATACGGGCGTGGCCGGGCCTATCACTGTACATGCCCTTTGCTGTGCCATCCTCTTCACTGTCTTCGGAATAGAGTACATCACCGAGAAAAGCGGAACGATGGGCCCCACTCCGTCCATACGCCAAAATACTCTCGACTTGATCTTATCTTTGAATTCTCATAGTATGTCGTTATGTATTGTTGACTCGGAATCACTGGATGTCATGGAGTCCACCCTGGCAGATTTGGGCTTCGGAGCGATTGAAAACAAGGGTGTGGAACGAAAAGAGTGGGAAAGTCCATACGGCGAAGAGCAACTGCGTAAACGTATTGAGGTGAGTGAACTCTAACAATTTTTTCTGCATGCTTTAATTTCGTCCCTACAGTGGATTTCTAATGGGGCGTTGTGGCGATCCTGCGTCCACGTTGGCAACAGAGCACGCCATCGTTATGATGATTACAACAGGGGTTCTTATTATCCTCGGAGGAGGAGAGGGGATCGTGAGCGCAGGGACCTTTTTGGAGTGAGGGTGCAGCGATACCCAGATGTCATTCAGCTTCAAAAATGAAAGACTACACACACAGAACAGAAGCAACCTGTCAGCGCAGAAGTGGGAAGCGGGCGATGACAAGAGATACGACTGCCGCCGAAACGACATCGTGAATTAGTGATCAGATTAAATACACATCCGGAACTTTCTATAGTAGAGGCACATCTACTTGCAGGAAGAAGCCCTTTCTAGAAGTTGCAACCTTCCTAGTACCTCTGCGTGAAAACCCCATGCATGGCGCATTCCATAGATGATGCCAGTTGGCGTCCAATCAACTATTCCCTGATATCCTTGGCGAAAACATGCGGTTCGGAGCATACCAAAGTCTTTAGCCCAACTGGAAGTTTTATGGCGTCGTAAGGGTTGATTTTTCGTGTCGTCCGGCAGCGGTCGCATTGTGATGACAACGGGGGATTTTTTCGAGTAGCAGGCCTGGGTATAATGAAAGTTTGGCTCAAAAGTAAAAAGATTTGAAATTCTGGCACTGCTTTTCTTTCTACAAAAGGCCCTGAATGGAGACCGCAGTGGCTGTTCAAAGCTGGACTTGTAAATGACCCTCCTCACCCATGATTACGACAGGATCACAACGGACAAAATTCCAGAAAAGGATTTTTTTCTAAAATCGCTTGAACTCAGGTAACCCTTGCCAACCAAGTGCTCCACGTTTCACCTGCTTTCCCCTCTCCAAAACCTCTGCTCTTAGATGAGTTGTGGGTATTTAAGTGGAGGTACTTTCAGAGTAATCGTTTTAAACCGGCTCCGGGTGGTAGAACAGCTCGCTCCGATCCCTTTGTATTAGCGCGCTCACCTTTGAATGACGAACAAAGTAATATTCAAAAGCTCATCCATTGTTCATAGTTCTAGTATTTCTGGTGAGTTCTTTTTTCTCTTCGTTTGTTTGGTAGTGTGTTTTAGAATTCTCTTTGGTTCTTAGCAGTTTTCTAGCTTGTGTTGTTTTTTGGCACTACCAAACTATTCCTACCTCAGTCTGCCAAAATCAGGCCCATTTTTTATCGACTTTTTTTTCTAGAAGGGCAGATGTGGTTGAAAATTTGCTCTCAGTGGTACTTCGACTTCCTGAACATGAGTATCACATCCACTTCGTCCAAAACTTCCGAAAGGTTTTAGTTATTTGGGGTATTTTGGCGCCGGCCATGGGCGCCAGTGCCAAAACACCCTGAATCACGAGAATCGATTAAAACTTGTACACATTTATTCGACATACTGGCTACAAATATGATATTTATTCTTGTCGGCGGCATGAACGTACGACACTATGGTCATCTTCGTTTTGCTAGGGGGAGGGGTTCACCAACACCACCATTTCTCCCATCACGATGCTGTACGCTGTGTGTGGGCACTTTCCCAGTACCCTAAAGTCCGGTAGATAAGTCCGCGGGTCGCGATCGCCGCGTGCGCGTTTTCTAGGCAGCTTGCACAAAGCTCAAAACCATTTGTTCACTTTTGAATCTTCGAACAGCTGATTGCGAAGGTCCAAAGGATGTAACCATAAAGAGTAACAGTAGAAGGATGGACGATAATAATTGATGAAAGATTCGATGCAAACAACAAAAGAAGATGCTCTACGAGCAGAACGCTTGGAGAAGTTGTCAAAGTTGAGCTGAAGAAAAAAATCAAAATTCAATTCATACTTCACGTTTCTCTTTAGAATTTGTACAAGGTAGCCAGTCAATGTTCTGGTATTTACATAGGGATTCCCACTGATGGCAAAAGGTCGATGTTGGCTCGAAAGCTGCTAATCTTCGGGCGCAGACATCCATCGGTTGCTCTTAACTCTTCAATGCTTTTTTTCTCTACAGTGAAAAGGAGGGCGAACCAACGATAAAGGCACTGCAGCTCTGTGCCCTACCCATACGATTATTGCGTACTTTGCTTTCGATCCAATATAGTGCTCGTTCACAGATCAAGTATTAGTGGTGTCAGACATATTGACAATAGTTTTTTTATCTAACAGATCGTACCTGTCGAAGATATTCGGACGCTAATCATGTGCTTTCCGATTCCCGACCTACAGGATGAGTATATGTCGTCCCCTGCGGAATGCATTTGTAAGTCAGTATAGTGCACTTCTGAGATCTTGGTAATGCTTGTTTCTCTGTTGATCTGTACTTTATCGGCAACTTAGAATTGATCAGCTGTAGAGCTCACTAAGCATAATGATGGCAAGATCTCCTCTCAATTCTAATCGCTCCATTCAGTTACGCAACAGTTCGTTGGAATCCTGCAAATAGGGTTGTGGGTTGACCAGTGCTGGTAAAGAGGTCGTGCAGTCCTGTTCGCCGCGAATACTGGAACCTGTCAGTGAGCCTGGATTCGGTGTCACACCTGCCAATTCTCCACCAACTGCTCGAGCGAGTTAGGCGACAAGAATTGGACGAGGACGGCTGAGTGAGACTCCACCTACTGGCCCCAATATCCGCTGCGTCTCCCCACCGATCCCATCACACAATTAGATGGAAAAGAGAGACAGAGTGCACAACTAATCGAAAGCTCACCACTATATGGCAATGGTAAAATGAATCAATGATGCTGGGTGGCAATTACGAGGGTGGAGATTACCTCGTGAAAGAACATTTTATCGAGCTCACTGTACCCCTCGACTCCCTGTCCCTTGACTCACGAAAAGGGAATATATTCTAAGGTCGCCGAACGAGCCACCTTGTCCTACAAGGGAGTTCTGCTTGTCGGCTAACTGCGGAGTCTGTCTTTGAAGGCGAAGCCGGCTATCATTGGCCATCACCCCATAGTGGACATTGAAAATGTCCTAACCATAAGTAGCTCGATAGTGAATGAAAAAGCAGGAAAAACATACCGACTGCCCCGGATAGTTTCGCTGTCCAGCTCGCTTTTCACTGAGAGGTGGGCCTTGAGTCGGTGTCACTGGAGTAAAGGATGTGTCACTGGACCTCTTTTGCGCTCGCGCCTTACAGTTTTTGGCGCGAAACTGGTATAAGTGTTCGTTGCGGATCACTCCACCCTTCAGACGCCATATTCCAAAGTTCTATGTCTGATCACGGACCGTGCCTTTGAGACTGCACAGCGGTCGTAATAAAGGACCAATTCCTCATCGCACACCTGTAAATTTTATTGTGGTCTCTGCACCCCTGAAAATTTTATCAAGATAAGAGGTAGAGGGTAAAGTGATCAAGGTGTTTGATTGTTCCACAAATGTTACAGCTCATCTGATCGTTCGTGAAGGAGAAGGTTCTTTGTCGTCTGAATTGCGAGGATTAGGGAGCCTTTTGGCTGCTAATGGAGAAATTTTCGCAAAAGGAATCAGCCTTTTTCAAATAGTAGTCAGCCTCAGCGATGGTAAGCGATCTCATTCTGTGAAAATCTCCGCATCTTTAGCTGTTCACTATTTGCTGCCAATCTCATCGAAATCCAGGTCACTTGGAAATCTTCCCCGGGTGAGCACCTTTAGTTGAAGTTTCATGCGGTAAGATGCTGCGCTAGGTGGTGGCATATGTCTTACCGTATGACACTCCAACTAAAGCCCGCCACCGTTCTTCTCCGGGGCAGCTGGGTACTAACGCGGTTTCTTGGATACGTATGGCACGAACGTCAGTTACATGCGGTTATCCCAGAGTCGCCTGATGCCATGTTGAAAATGTGCCGGATACTTCGACACTCTCAACTAGACTATTATACTCGATTGGATCCAAACTCTCACGCATGATCAGGGAAACCCCTTATGCACGATTACTGGATGTCGAATGCCAAAGCAGCGAATGGTGTAGAAAAACATGTGGCGAGCCAGGAGGATAGGATTTCGAAACGGAGGGCCTATGCAGACGAGAGGGAGTAGATTGAAACAGAAAATTGACTCAAGAAGAAAATTGACTAAGTAATTGAGCCGCATCCAAGTCTACCACTAAGGACGACGTTCGACCAAATGGTGCCCTAAATTTCGGAGAGTGTGGCAGTGAAGAGTGCTTATACCTTTTTCTAAAAATAGGTGGGCGCCACACACTGAAAGCGTTTGTATGTATCACAATCAGTTTTTTTTCTTTTCAGATGGTCTCAGTCACATTGAGGAAGTGATTAGCCTAGTGTTCAACCATATTGGGCTACTTAGACGTAGTGGCGCAATCGATTGGATTCATGATGAACTTCGAAAATTAAGCGAGATCAGTTTTCGCTTTATGGTTTGTTGAATGAGCATTCAAGTACACTTGATCGGTCACTTCCTATCCAGTTTAGGAGAAAATTGATCCAGCAGCTGCGGTCATCGCATATTCTTCTAATTTACAGCGTATTCCTTTCCGAGACATTCTGTCGTGGAATCTTCTTCGGACGGAGTACAAACCTGGTACTGCACAACTTCAGTGAAGTAGTAGGATTTCACTATTGAACGTAGCCTGCAGCGAATCGTGCACGTTCCTTATGCTATGAACTGAGAGAACTTTCTGAAGGCACTATTCACGCACGGGTTGTGTGAGCTTAATCAGACCTACCACTGCTAGTGCCTGACTGGCTACTTGCACCCTTACATTTGCAAAGAGCCGTGCCCCAATAAGAAAGGCGTCATTCTGAGTCTGACTCCGCCTACACAGCCAGCATTTATCATTCTTCCTTCCAACGACGACGGATTCCAGATAGAATTATGGAAATAATCGAGATGTTGTCTCCGAAGAACATGTTCTACGTTGTAAGTGCGAGAGAGTACAGTGGTCAGGAGGGCAATATTCACGAGCCGATTTTTGGGACAGAGATGCGAATCCTAGATATAAACGAGGTGAGTTTTTCGTGAAAGCAGCATACACATTGCTCCACTTAATGATAGTTCCACCATGAAAGAAATGAAGTTCCAACACGAAATCCCTTCTTACAGATGTTTTCAAAAATGCTGATAAGTAGTAGTTGTGGTGACTACATTCTGCGCGGCTACCATCAAAAACCAACTTGAAAGGATGGGTTCTTTTTCTTCTTTTTTTTGAGAAAAGTTTACTCTGACAATCCCGCAAAATGATAGTTACACCAACTTGAATGAAATGAATAAAGTGTTGATTCAGTAATCTACTGGAGCCCCATTTCTCCGAGTAAGTTGGAGAATGCGGTTCTCCATGCTCGAATAGAGGTTTTTCAACAAGCGTTCGGTCGACAGTGTGCCATGCATAAAAAATTGACTCGCATTGTTTGCAAGACCTTATATAAAGCCCCACATATTCTCGATTGGGTTTAAGTCGAGGTTATTCACTGGTCAACGCAAAAAAGCGATTTGATGATGACTGAACCAATGCTTGGAATGTGCTCGAGTGCTTGGAATGGCATGAACTGGTGCATTATCTTGCACGAAAGCGAGGTTCTCTTGCCAAAATCCACGTCAGAAAAAAGGAGATCTTGACGCATAACATTGGGATAATCGAGAGACTTCATTTCCTTCAAAATGAAGTACAACGTTAGAGATCCATTGATGTGAAGGCAGACCAGGCCATAACACCACCTCCTCCGAAGTTCCACTTGGGAAAATGTAGCTCATCCTTTCTGAGGTTGTGCCAGTTGAATCGGTTTGCGTCTACGTGCTGTGTAATTTGTGTCATCAGAAAGCTCGACCTGGGGAAAAAACTGAAAAGACAGACAAGGGCGTCGCTGTCATAAGCTAACCTTGCTCTAATCGATTCGGCAACATCTCCTATCGAAGCCGATTCGGTCTTCACGATGCCTTTCTTAAAGAAATCGTGCCTTCCTCATTCTCCTCAAATGGGGTCGTATAGTAGAAAACAATACTGTGCCACGCGGGACTTTCTCGTACAAGACCTCAAACATGGGTAATTAAACATTTATCACTAATTCTGCAAGTAAGAGACAGTAACAGAAAGAAATTTCACAATATGAGCTGAATATCAAACTAACCTACTCCTTAAGATCAGCTGAGGCTAAGGACAGCTCCCTAAGACTACTAAGTTATAGTGCTCGTGCCGTATCCTACAAAAATATGAAAGGTCGTGTTTCTAAGGCATATGCACAAGAAGAAAACATATCAGAAACTAGAAAGAAAAGTTGAGAAAAATGTGACTGAGGCGACGATTACATGCCGCTTAAGAAGGCTCGATATCAGATAACAATGGGAAAAGCGTTACGTAGGTAACAACATCGATCAACATTCCGAATGTTTACATTTTTGTAAAGGCATTTGAGAAAGGCTGTGAGAAATACTGAGAATATCCTTAGGAAATACTGAACTAGAGTTCAGTATACTCCGCGCCGCCATGTGTCGTTATCGGTCAGTTGTTAATCGAGTTACTACCACTCCTCATCAACCGTCCTCGTATCAGCTTGCGATCTCCGCGAAGGCTCACGATCGTGCTCTGGCCTTCCTCGTCTCGAACCGGACCATCTTGAAGAACACGGCTTCGAGCCTTCCAGTGCCCTATCACATATATCGATCAAAACCTTGATTTCTTCTCTGCGTCTCATTTTATCGGCGAATTCTTCGGGCCTCCTGCAAATACTGCAATGATGATCGAGGTCGTCGCGATAATTACCTGATTTGCAGTAGAAGCATGGTGTATTCCTAGGGCACTTTGGTGCAAAATGGAATCCCAGGCATACCATACACCTGTTTTCCGATTTCAACAACTCGATCCTCCTGGATACAGAGCGCACCTCCGCACACGCGTCGGAGTAGTGATTTCCTCTTACCTTACAATACACGCAGGTCATTCCTCCCTCACCTTCCTTCATGTTCCTGCTGCCGAAACGTCTATCTTTGACCACATTTTGACTGAGAAAATCGTCGATTTCCGTCAGCTCTTTCTCGCTCTGATCCAGTATTCTTTCATACCTCTGTAATTCCGAGGGCGGTATTACGAAACCTCCGTGTCTCCTCTTGCCACCCGTCCTTGGACTGCTCGACCGCGAGTGTTCTTTTCTTTCCTCCTCCCAGTCCTGCAATTCCTTCGTCTGCTCTTCGATTTGTGCTGTTATCCGTTTCCACTCTTCTGCATATCTTGTAATCTGAGCAGTGGCTTCCTTGCTACGCTCCGAAACTTTCTTCAATTCATTGATGATATACTTGGATCCTTCAGCATTCTTCGTGCACTGCTTCATGATCGCGTCGCTGAAGCCCTTCATTTTCGGCATGCATTCTTCGATTTCCTCGTTCTGGCGCCGAACGCCATCATGCAGGTTAAAGCATGCCTCCCTCATTTGACGTATAGTTTCATCCTCAACAGCCACATTGCGACGGACTTCCGCTTCTGCTGTTTCGCAAGAAATCTGTTCCTCTTCCAGCAGGGCATCTAACTTCACGAGCTGGTACTTCATCATGACTGCCTTTCGTTCATAAGAGCGACGAACCTTTGTCGGGTTGGAGTAACCGCTATCTCCCGGTTCCGTAGGTTCGGTGTGCTCTTTTTCACTCAGTGTGCGAATGAACTCCAACCTGGATTATTCCTCCACTTCATCCACCGTCACAAGGATTTCATACCACTCGTGCGCTAATACGAAGAACTCTGTATTGACTACCAACTCCGCTCTTAGCTGCTTGTGTGTTTGAGTTTCACAAGGAAGTGAAACGCTCCCCCTCTTTTGATGAAGAGATCGTGCTTATCATGCATGAGTGCAGCGTACTCATGGCGTGCTTGTTGGATCATGGAGGTCGCGTCATAGCACTGTGTTCCATAGTAGCGTAGTCGGTACTGGATGAGTTGCTCTGATGGTCGTGCATGTGAGCTTTCGGCTATAGCTATTTTTCGACTAAGTTCGTGCTTAAGACGGGCTTCCAGATCTTCTGTTGTCGGCATGCTGAAAAATGATGTCTCAACCATTTCATTCTCTTTTTTCTGGCAAATAAGCAGATGGTTAGCGCAATCTTCCTTCATGGCCATATGATGCTCGTGCACTCTGATCTTAACAGTTTCAAGGAAGTTTCTTCTCTGGCTTCTCCGTGCGACTTCCTTGTAGAAGATGAAGTAGTGCAGCTGGTGCACAGACAAGGGCTCTCGTAATCCGAAAAAGCAATCGATTGAGTAGTAGAAGGAAGCGCAGAAAGAATCTCAGAAAGAGAAAGCATGCAGTGTTAGTAAGACAGAGGTAGGTTAGCAAAAGGGCCAATGCTACTGCAGCAACAGTCATGAACAGCGTTCCGCTCCATCCGAGAAAGACATCTATTATATGAGAAATGTCTGGGAAGTTGATCTCTGAGAATACTTCACTTTCGCCATGGAGTATTCGTCTTATGGCGGTGTGAAGAACGCCGGTATAACGAAGGATTCCCACTATTTTGAATCTTTGCTGCGCCTGTCCACATTGAACAGTGCATACAACGTGAAAGCGTGCTTTAGTCGAAGTGAAACGAAGCTCGGATTGGACACCGTTAGACGAACAGGGAACGGTGAATCGAACATCATTGCACTGAATTTCTGCTCTCTCTTCTGGGGTTGACGATGTGCACACGATTACTGCGCGTGTTCCTTTGGCGCAGTTGTAGCATCCTGTACATTCGCTATTTCTCACCGTACATACAGCGTCCGATGTTACTGCTGTAGTCTGGAGTTCATCCTTAATCCTGATAATGATTTCAGCTGTTGGTAAGTATGGTATCCTAGCAATTAAGTTGGATTGCATTCGAAACTCTACATTCGGACGGATGATTGGTATTTGATGTTCCGGATTGATCATGTGGGACGTAAGGTTGAAATCCTGACAATCGCACGACATTTTTATCTCTGCTGGCGTGCACTTGCAGTCTTCCACTACGTCACATGTCATATTTGTAGCTTCTTCCGGTGAGCTGCATCTGAGCGGTGGCATATATCCTGACGGTGCTATTGCTGTACGGCTTCCGTCTGTGATGAAGAGTGAGTCCAACAGTGGAACCGGAGGTACGCTTACTGATGAAAGCGTGATGGTTGCGGGAGGCACAAGTCGTGGTTGATTCGGGATGATGTTCAAATGGTGTATTTTGATTGGCCTGTTGACTCGATTTGTAATCATTTCTAGATGTACGGAAGGCCTCCATCTTGTGCACCGGAATACATTATAAACGAAGTCATCGTTCGCAGTGAGGTATATCCTGTAGAAAAGGCAGCCTGAGCTGGGATAGAAGCAATCACAGCCGAGTCCTCCACAGCTTTCTACGCACCCTGTGACACCTGGGAGGTGATTTAACTTGCTGAGTTCCGGTATTTTCGAGGAACGATTTACTTCCCCACATTTCTGACCAACACATGATCCTTTGTGAGGGCATCGTTTGCTGTCCAAAACTCCATAAGTGGTGCTTCGAGTGAATATTACGGTCTCCTTCTCACAAATAAGATCAAGCGCTTTCCATAGCAGTTTCACCTCCAGAAGGCTTGGGCTGTTGCTTGTCAGGCGAAGGCAAGCCTCCTGCTTGAATGGATTAATCTTTACGATTTCGAGTGTGTCAACAGTACACAGTTCTCCTGCGACGGATTTTCTGCAGGAGTAGCTCTGGTGATCAAAGACGTCCACCTCTTGGCATCCCTTGGATAAATTCCAAATGATCGTGAGGAGAATCGCAATTTCTGACCATAAGCGACGACGTCTAGGTCCTGTGTGCTCGTTGTAGAATCTTCATTCCTATAGATGGTATAGTCTTCACAAGAAGGAGACATAAAATTTTCGCTGTACCCAGTCCTACACTTCCGATGATCCGAAAAATGTGCAGTATTGGACTCCCTATGATGACTGGCATGTGAAACAGGAAGTAGCACAACGCGATAAGCACATAGACGAGAAACCCTTTGAGAAAAATTGCTGTCCGCGGCCAGCATTCAGGGTTTGCTA